CCCATCTTCTTGCCCCTTCCCCATCTGCGTCCCCAATGACATTTCTCAAATCAATCCCAAAATATTAAAATCAGATGGAATTGGCTACACTTTGAGGAGTAGGGATGATGTGTAGGCTGTTGCGTTTTTTCTTTAAAGGGTGTGAATGGGAAATGGAAGAGGCACCTTTTGGATTGCACCTCTCCATCTCATACTTCCTTTGTCTATAAATTTAGAGGCTTGCCTCATTTTTAAGACATGAAAAAATCTGAAAATTTCTCCCCTCTTTTCTATTTGCATTAAATAAACATAAGTGTCAAGTGTGATTTGCTCCGTCTGTTGAGTTCGCTGAAATTCCGTAATTTCGATTGCCAGTATTGCAGAATAGTTATTCCGTTCTATCCTGGGAGGAATTAATCCAAAACCTTGGGCAACAATGAGGGAATTAAATTCCTTAAGGACACACAAGCAACTTGTGGGCTCGGAATTATTTTTTCTGTTTTGTTTATTAAACTAATGTTTCTCTGCTTCTCTAATTTTCTGATTTTTAACACAGTAATACCAACAATCTTAAGGAATTTATTAATTTTATATTTATGTGTTCATTTTATATTTTGTTTCGCGAGACTAAAGTAAATTTGACCCGAAAATTCGTTTGCAATCTCTGTCGCTTCATCTTACAAAGCGTGGCAGAAAAAGAATTTTGTTTCTGGTTCTTATATGGCCTAATCTCGAAGGAACGGACTAGGAAAAAGTATCTTGTAGTAAATTGTTCCGAAACGGCATGCCGACTTTATTACTTTTGTTTGGTAATTTTGAAGTTGGTATACTTCTGCCAACAATACTAGTTAAATTGACAAAAGAAATTTCTTCTATTCTTCATTTTGGTCTTTTGACTTTTATTGAAAATTAATATATAGAAATCTACAACAGAGAGTGGCACCTGGCATGAAGCCAAAAAGAAATATTCTACAAAGAGGTATGAGTTGGTTACCTTTCCACTAAAACTGACTGTTATTTACTGGAAATAGATAGTCTTATGGTACGGTGAAGCAAATACAAGAATCTTTGTGTTTACAAAAGCAATTGCCCGATGATATGGTGAAAGAGTACGCTGTTCCAGAAGTACAAATAAAAGGGTGCATTTGCGTTGTTCACTGCTGTCACGATGTTTCAATGTGTTCGCTTCAGCGATAAATTAATATGAGCAGTGGCATCAATATCGGGTTATATATTCTTTACCATATTTATACTTTAATTTACTATCCATTATATTGGATAGATGTGCTTATGTGGTGATCTCAAAGTATATCTGGTTTGCATGCTAGGATTCAGAATAACATATTATTGAAAGAAAATTGTTATTCCATTTTTCAAATAAAATTGATTTTATGTATATACCATATAGTTGGTTGGCATGCATAAATTATGTGGAAGATTATTTTCAATGTTGTAAGATATGAATTAGGCTTACATTGATACTTGAAAGTATTATATGTAAAGATGAACATATATGTGTTTGATTAGAGAAAAAGATGAAACTATTGAACTGTTTAAATATTATAATGATTTAGTTGGAAAACCATTTGAAGAGATAAAATCCTCGTGATTTTCTATTCTTATTTTGGAGAGTAAAATCTTCGTGATTTTCTACTCCTGCTTTGAGAACAAAATCTGCGTGAGTTTGTACTCGTTCGTTAAGATTAAAGTCTTCGTGTCTTTCTACTCATTTGTCGGAAATTAAAGTCTAAGTGACTTTATACTCGTTTTGGAGATTAAAATCTTAGTGATTTTCTACTCCAATTTATTATTCGATTTGAAGATTAAAAACTTCATCGTTTATTAAATTTGATTGTGTCACATTATTCGGTTTGAAGATTAAAAACTTCACCGTTTATTTGATCAAGTTTTATCAGATGTTACTCAGTTTGAAGATTAAAAACTTCACCGTTTATTAATTCTGAATGTGTCAGATTGGTTTGAAGATTAAAAACTTCACCATTTATTAATTCTGGCTATGTCGTGACACAAACAACAATTCTTGTGGTTGGCTCAACAACGTAATAGGGGCGTTGAATATGAATGTCCTTTTGAAGAAATATGTTTGAAATATGAAATTATTCACCAAACGATCGCCCCTTAGTTACCGCAATCTAATAGAATTGCGGAAAGAAAGAATAGAACGTCAAAGGAGACGATGAATGCCTAGTTGATAAGTTCTGGTTTACCCAAAACTTGTGGGGGAAGCTATGCTTACAGCTTACCGAATACTCATTCACGTTCCTCATAGAAAGACACATACCATTCCATATAAAAAATAAGGAAAGGAACCCCACTTGAAATATTTCCAAGTGTGGGGGGTATTTGGGTAAAGTGCAAGTTCTTAAACCCAAAAGGATAAAAATTGGATCGAAAACTGTTGATTCCGTTTTCATAAGATATGAAACAAATAGTAAGGCATATCGTTTTCTGATTCATAAATCAAAAAATCCCGACATTCATATTAATACGGTAATCGAATCAGATAATGTTGAATTCATTGAGAATATTTATCCGTATAAAAAGGAATGTGAGTCGTCTAGTGAAATATCTAAACGAACTCGGAAAGAAGCAAAGGAAAGTACGTTGAATTAGTAAAATCCAAGACGTAATAAACGTCAAAGGATAACTACTTCCTTTGGACCGGATTTTCTGACATTCTTGTTGGAAGATGAGCCTCAAATTTTTAAAGAAACATTGTCTTCCTCGGAAGCACAATATTGGAAAGAGGCAGTCAATAGTGAGATAGAATCCATATTAAGTAATCATACTTGGGAATTGGTTGATCTTCCTCCAGGAAATAAACCTTTGCCTTATACGTGAATTTTCATAAAGGAAATGAAAGTTGATGGTACTATTGAAAAATATAAGGTAAGATTAGTTGTCAAATAATTTAGACAACACGAAGGTCTTGATTATTTTGATACATACTTGCCGGTAACGAGGATTACATCTACTCGGGTGTTAATAGCGTTAGCCGCCGTGTATGGCCTTGAAATCCATCAGATGAACTTAAAGACAACATTATTAAATGGAGATTTGGAGGAAGAAATTTATATGGAACAACCTGAAGGGTTCGTGGTTCCTGGAAAAGAAAAGAAGGTGTGTCGACTTGTTAAGTCACTTTATAGATTAAGACAAGCACCCAAACAATGACATGCGAGATTTGACCAAATAATATTGTCAAATGGTTTAAAAAATTAATGAGTGTAAACAAATGTGTTTACGTTAAGAATACTTCAAGTCTTATAATCATTATTTGATTATATGTAGATGATATGTTGATGAAATATTTAAAATGTGGGGGCTTTTAGCTTATGCATGACAAAAGCCAATGTTAGACGTAATGTCAAAATGATATATATTATCTTGAAGAATTAGATGATATAATTCTTCGAACCCTACGAATCCTTAGGAATATTGATATGGTAGTCGGTGAATTCATTACTTGTTCAGTCTTAGTGATGACTAGTGATGAAACTACAAATTCGAAAGTTGTTTACGTGCCTTTCCAGAAATGATTTGTTCTTTCTTGAACATTTATAATGTTTAGCTCCTTTATGAAAGGGTGTTACCTGGAAGGCTGTGACTTTTCATGAAAAGTGCGTATATATGTCTTGTATAAATATGATCGTTCATAAACGTACGTATTAATACGTTGGTCTATAATGAGGTGAACCAACCGATGAACATGACCAAAATCCATTGAAAGTTGGATTTGTTTCATAAATGAAGGTGCTATAATTTGCATATCATATAGACGTATGAATAAATAGCATACAAATACTTGAAAATGACGGAGTGATTGCAAAATGTGTTATATATTAAAAGGTTGTGGACACAACTGATGCCAATCATTCCTGTTATTGTTCTAATATATTATTGCTACGTTAAGTGTAGTCAATAATCTGATATGCAATCGAAAGTCGAGACGTATTAGTCTACAACATAAGAAAGTTTACATTGAACTTTCATGACAATGAAACGAGTTTTGAAGTATTTGAAGTATACTCCAAATTATGCTTTGCACTACAATAAGTATCTCTCGATAATAAAGGGATATAGTGATGCAAATTAGATCACCGGTTCAACCGATTCTAAACAGTCGGTGGAGGAGCGATGTCTTGGAAATCGTTCAAACAAATGTACATTGACCGCTCTACAGTGGAGGTTGAGTTTATAGCCTTAGAGAAGGCCGGTGAAGAAGCTGAATGACTCCGGAATTTCTTGGAAGATATTCCATTTTGGCCCAAACTTTTGGCACCTATATGTATACATTGTGATAGTCAAGCGACAATAGGAAGGGCTTGGAGTGTTATGTATAACGAAAAATTTTGTCATATATGACGAAGACATAGAACCGTTAGGCAACTACTCTCTAGGGGAATTATCATAATTGACTATGTAAAGTCAAGCGATAATGTGTCGGATCCACTTATAAAAGGCTAACTAGAGAGGTAGTTGAAAGATCATCGAGGGGAATGTGACTATGGACGAGGACAAGTCATTGTGGCGGTAACTCTACCTAGAAGACTGGAGAT